GCTGTTTATTCAGAGAACATAAAGTGTCTCGTGCTTCTAACAAAAATGGAATTGTATTTTAACCAGACAGAAATGTCAAATCTTTTAAGCATGTTTGAAATATGATCTGCTATACTTTAACACTTGTTCAGGTTAGAATGGACAGTCCTTCTCCAGGCCATCTCAAATTCCAGCTCCCTCTGTTTTTTCCTCAGAAGCTTACGGAAAACCGACAGCTCTCTGATCACTTCCTGTTTATCTCCTGAAAAATCAATCAAGAGCACAGGAGGATAAGAATTTAAAACATGTAGGAAAAAACTGATTTATGATTCTAGTGCCATGCAAAACTACCACAATCCTTCATGTTTTTTTTTTTGTTTGTTTTCTTTTTTATAGATTTTGTGCAATAGACCAACACAAAGTAAATCTGGTGATTTACAAGTCTTGTATACACTTGAACTGTTATGCTACACTTTACCAGAGGAGTATAAAGTACTCAAATAATACTTTTAAGTAAAAGGAAAATATAAGGTTGCCAGAAAATTTATTTGATAAAAGTTAAAGTCATTAATAGGAAAAGTACTTAAGTTGAGTCTGAAAATTGCTCACAATAATTAGGAAAGTGTAAGTGATTCTGTACCTTTACTTGGGTAAAAATGGAGGAAAAATTTATTTTCAACTCAACACTGCTTTCCATAAGAACTCAGAAAAACACAAAAGATATCGTGAATAATAACATTCATAACTGTGCCGTCTACGTTAGAAAACCTATGTGCCTTCTGTAGGAATAGAATGAAGTCAGCTCTGTGTCTCAGAGAGAGAAAAATCTAAAGTGGACTGACTCAAAGGCAAAAATAATTAACTTTACTACACTTTACCACCAATAAAGCAGAAATATTTAACACTAAGTTGAGTTTAACAACTTTTAGGAGAATATTTAAAATGAAATATAGTGATATAAATCACCTTTTCACCCCTTGAGAGAAGCAAAAGGAATAAACATTTGTTTTTTACAGAGGTACAGTTAAAAATTATCTAAAACTTGACAGTTGCATTATCACCACCCACCAGTAAGGTTTGTGGACCAGTTCTTCTACTGTTCTCATACTGATTCCACATTAGAAAAAATACTTTAAATTTAATTTGAAACAAGTAATAATGTCTTAGATGTTTAGGTTAAAGTAAAAATTTATGCCTTTCATGTATCAGAATAAAAGTGACAAGTAAAAGTTTAAAAAAATTCCAAACTTTATAATTAAAAAAAACAATACTTCAGTACTCTAATGATGTAAATCTACTTAATTACTATGCAGCTTTGCACTATACATTTTCAGTGTTTTATGAACTAAAGTCATTAAATATAAATTATTTTTAGAGCAACACTCACCGGGTACTGAAGGTTTACTCTCAGGAATTGGTTGGGTGTTTGGAGCTGAAACAACACGATCCTAGCAGAAATGTATATTTTTAATATCAATCATTATTTCTTGCTCTACAGCGAATATATAAATGTGGAGATATTGTTGTGCATTCATGATTTACAGTCTTTGATTTAAGTGGACTTACAACAGGTGACAGCCTTGGCGTGTCAGCATTTAGAAAGGCACTTTCAGGTAAGGTCTGTTTTGTCTGCCCATTGCTGATGGCCTCCTTGGTGTCATGACTTTCATTCTGATATCTCTGTTTGTTTTGATTTTGCTGAGAGAGAGTGAGAGAAAGGAGACTGTATAACTGATCTAACATGAGAAAGTTGTTGGTGGGATATTGTGGGAGCCCTCACACTCATCT